AAAATGTTGCTTGATTTCCAAAATTCGACTGCAACAACTTTGTTAAATTGCTAGTTAGTGGACAGCTGAGCCTGAAATTCAGTTACTTGTTTAATAACGTTTTCTGTGAAGTTTTGACTTCACAAGATATGCAAAATATACTCTGAAACTTTGATGTTAATGGTCGTAGTCATATTTCATTGGAAAATCACTCACAAAAGATATGTTAATTTCATCTGATAGTCATATGTATGTAACTTTAATTTACTATTCCCATGTTATAAATATTGCAACTTTACACTCACGAGTATATACATTTTTGGTCTTAATTTAACTATCAGTATTTTGCATCATAGGTACTTATCTGAACATTTTTCAATGTAAATTAGACTGGGTATGAAACTATTTTCATGGTACCCAAACATGTTTGCGTTTATTCATATAAATATGCACGACATTTACACGTACACATTCATAATAACTAATTACTATAAATTATGAATTACCTAAATTAACTATAATAAAGTATCCTAAATCATTATTAAAATGTTACAATATTACAATTATTGTTGTCATTTTGTAAATGATTTTACACACTTTTCCAAAAAAATATTTAAATGGATCCCTTGATCTGAGTAAATTCACAAAAATTTGTGCCCTATGTTTTTAAGAAATATTCGTATCTAAGTTGGCAAAAGTTTGTATTCTTACAGAATATACAATTTTACAAAACTTCTGGCCTGAATTATCTCATTATTTATTTCGTTACTAATTTTGATCAAAAATTCCAACGCGACTTCAATCATTGAAGTTTTCGTTTTAACTCTGTTTAACTCTTTCTCTCTAAGCAAATAATTTTTTGGTGATATTGTAAAGGCCACACCTAAATTTATCAGTAGCAATGCACGTCAAATGCTGTATGCAATTTGGTAAATCATACAAAAATGTGCATGGTGAGGTCCATAAATTATGTCAAATGGGTAAATTATGTGAAATTCAAAAAAATCTTGCATTTCGAGACCCCCTCCCCCATTCAACATTCGTCACATAGTTATACGATACCGTTGGAGGATTAGACGCTTGCTCCACCTCTAGCTTGACATAATTTATTCACGGTCCTTACGTCCTTTGCCGGATGTCCAAGGATGTTTGTTTGTATGTAATCCTTGTTTATTGTTCACGACATGTCAGATAATATAGTAAATTTGTGTCACGCACGATTCCATAGTATTTGGTGTAAGTTTTTGTTGGAAACACAAATTGTATGAATCATCGTATTCTAAAAATTGTTTTTGTAAATGATCTTACAATTAATGCACAAAGAGGGAGAATTATTTATCAGGTTCATAAGATTTTTATTTATTGATTAGTTAAATGCATAATTAAAATTTTGCACGGTATCTATACATTTTGTTACTCAAAAATACATAAATATGACACACATATGTAAACACACATCCATGATAACTACGTTAAATCATTAATTACCTGTATAAATTGCAGTAGAAATATGGACCATTAAGTGTAACTATATCATCAGCAAAATGTTACAATCTTACAATGATTGTTTTCATTTTAGAATGACATTCATATTTACTTCTTAAACTTTTATCTGCAAATACAATTGAAATTGTCAAGGGCCAAATACAGAGGTCATGGGAAACTCAATATCACTATCAAGCGAGAGGGGGAGTGGTGGTCAGGCGATAAGCTACATATGTTATGCAAAACGCGTGGTCGTAGAAAAAAAGGGAGGGTGCGAGCAGGAGTTGAACTCGTGACCTCCTGGTAGAAGTGAGCAGTGTTAAATAACGCCACTACATTTTGGAAAATAACGATAAATAATTCACAAATTCTCTTCCTTATTTGCGAAAATATTCCCCTGACAACATTAACAGCACGTTTCAGGCCTTCCAAAATTAGCCGATATCGCTCTTGACAAATTTTAGATAATTTGTTCAAAACGAAGTTACATCTAAATTCAATCCAAAATATAGCCAAACTCGCACTCAACAAAAACACCACGTACAAGAATAACATTCCAAAATTCGTATACAATCTCAATCTTAGCTCCGTTGCTACCTCGTCACCATGTGTTGCATCTTGCGTTTTTATATTATTTGTTGCCAATTTTCTCGCAATTTTGGTGAAATATCTGTCTTGAAACATTCCATCAATGCCAGCCGGGCCGTTCCATAATACAACATTTTGCAAAAACCAGGAGCCTCATACTTGAATAGGAATTCATCAAGGCATTTATTCATACATATAAATATGCACGACATTTATACATAAATATCCATAAAAACTAGATACGATAAATTACTAATTACCGAAATTAATTACAATAGAGTAACCTAAATCCTCATTAAAATGCTACAATATTACAATCATTGTTGCCATTTTAGAATTACATTCGTATTTACGTACTATATTTTTATCTAAGAACAAAATTGGAATTGTTACGGGCCAAATAAAGAAATAGTTAATTTTGAAAAAATAAAATATTGATTAAAAGATGAGCGATATGTTTAACGGGGTATTTAATGCACACTCTTAGAAACGTGGTATTGAAAAAAACCTAACGGTATTGATACGTGACTCTACCGCCTTGGTATTAAACGGTTATACCATATTGGTATAAAACCGGTATTGAAATTATACCTCATGGTAATAATTTTAATACTAATTGGTATTAACTTTTTTACCACGCAGTATTAATTTAATACCTGATCAATACCACGCGGTAGAGTCACGTATCAATACCACCGGTTATTGATTTTTTTAAGAGTGCAGGTATATGTAATTATTCCTCACATGCCACACATTTTTCATATTGCAATACTAATAATGCGTATGTACGTAGTTTGGATTATGCTCGTGTGCGAATGCACGGTTGTGTGAGTGTAATTATGATTGGGTGGTTATGTAAATGTTGATTTATAATTGTATGTGCACGGCTTTCTAAAGACTTGGTTTATGACACCAAGCTGTTGATTCGTTTTAAATATGTGAGGGTTGATTTTATTAATCTACCTCGAGTACCTGGCTATCTTATTATTGCATCAGCAGTATATAAATAAAATTATCCATGCATATGCGCCTTACTTGAGGAAGCAATGCATACAATACTGGTATTCTAATTATTATGAAGTTTTAAGAAAATTGAAAATTCCTGTTTTGCAAAATTTCCAACAGAAACTTATAAATTGGAAACGGAAGCGTGAACCAAGAGTGAGACACCTTGCCAAAGCACCGTCTTCGATAAAGTTGTCACCTGTATATTGTATTTTAACAGGCCATGCTGATAAATAAAGTTAAAGACTTTTCTGTTGAATTTTTTTTGAACTTTTTGACGTTATATGTAGGGACAGGAAAAAGTCAGGTTTCTTGTGAAATTAATGAGAAATTCGAAGCGAAAACATAAGGTTGCTGGCAATAACCTTATGCAACAACTTGTTGCATGTACATAGTAGCTATATTTACATATCAGTAGTAGCAAACAATAAACGGAAAACCATTATGGAGTGTCTTACACATTCTAATCTTTAAATCTTAAAACTTACAAAACTCTGTCTTTGTGCCTTAAGAAATCTCCTAAATTTGGTACAGAATTTTCAAGCATTAAACCCATCGTATCGATGAATCTAGTATGCTCAGCCCATAATTTTTTAACTATATCATCACACTTTGCCTATCAATTCGGCTAGGCGATCCTTTGCCTTTTGCAGGATTGTCATGCATGATCCGAGATCTAGCCTTTCAAAAGGTCGTTTCAAAAAGTCCAGCCAATTTGAATGGATTAAGTATGCTAATTTTTGCTGAGCTTTAGGGCAACATACAATTAAATTAATCGCGTGACTTATAGATTACTTACCCATTGTAGAGTATCTTGCACTATATAGCATACATATATTACGCAAATACATATTATAGTAGTTTGGTCAATATGGATACTGCAACGTTAACCAACTCGCTTAAAATTTAATTTTATGCGCAATTGTCGGATTGAAAAAGTATATGTAGTAGCTAGAAATCAAATAATTTCCCGACCTGATCTATAGTAAATAGTGAACAATATAGCAGATCAGGAGCTCTGGCTAGATTTGTATTGCTACACTGTATGTTAAATGATTGGTGCATAACGTAATTACAATTAACGTTAGCAATTTCTTAAAATTTCGTATGTTCAACGTCAAAGACATTACGAATGGAACTCTATATTCAAACATTGGAGTAATAATACTTGAAGAACAGCGTATGAAATTTAACGTATCGCATGGCACTGATCTGTGAAAATGTGACTTCGCATCCCATTGACATGACCGATTCGTTTAAGCGTACTACATAAAATGGGATTCATGTACCCCTGACAAATGTCTCATAGCCCAGACATTATTTACATACATGTGCACATATGTGCGTATGTGTCTCTTCATCTTAACATTATCTTCAGTGAGATAATAATTATTTTCAAATTAGAAGTTGTATTTACATTTCCTAGCATTTTTATGGAAACAATTATCACAAAATATTAAAAAAAACATTCCGTGAAATGACGAAAGTATGAAATAGTCTAGATATTTCTAAACAGCGGTTGGTCGGTAGGAGAGAGGTCGCCATGGAATCACCTAAGCCTACTAGCCTAAAGAAATTAGGCACAGTGAAGGCGTATGATGAGAATTTTCCATCACTAATTGATGACGGCACAACAAACGAAAAACCTTCATTTTTTAGCCAAGAAAATGTTCATGTCCTGCCAAACCAATGTGACGATAGACCACCCAGTAATAGAGATAGTCTATTAAATCTATTGGCCTAAGAAAATGATGACCAGGATATCTGTCCTGAGCGAAACGATGAGGGTTTTGGGGAACATCCAACTACAAAGCGAACAGGTACATTCTATTTGCACCTAGTTCACATGAAACAATTTCTTAATAACAATAAATTATTTCTATGAAGGATCTATTTTTGTTCGACCTTACTTTAACAAGATAAAGGACATGTGGTTCATCCGCTGGGTGAAAGTATCATTTTATTTTACCTGAATGAGCACGGATACTAAAATGTTCGTGTGGACGTTGGCGAGAACTCTTTCACCATCATTACAGAGGTAAATGATACTTCTTTGATACTTCTTCTTTTTCTTCTCTTTTCTTTGATTTCTTTGTAATATAATATACTGTTAAATCGTAAATGCATAACGTTATTACAATTAACGTTAGCGATTTTTGAAAAGGTTGAGATCACAGACATATTCAGGGCATTCATTTCAAGTTCGTGAAAAGAGTGACATGTATCTAAGATGTGTTTGAGAGTACTAAAATGGGATTTATGTATGTATGTATCTATGACAAATGTCCCATACTTCAGATATTATGTATGTATGTATGTACACATCTATGTACATTTCTCACAATCCAACATCATTTTTAATAAAATATGAATTATTATCAAATTTGAAGCTGTAATGCACCCTAAATACCTATTTCTAGCTAAACTAATAAAACATTTTTTTTGGATAAAAACTTCCCCAAAGTTACGATTTGTTGATATTACTATGTACAGACTTATCTCAAGATGAGTCTAAAAATCTCCTTATTAATAATCTTGTATCTGAATTGGCGTAGAAAAATTTAATACATGCAGTGAATTGTTTACTTGATGATGGGATGATGACACAATTTTGTTATAGCGGAATGTTTACTGATGGATTTTGTGTTGCCAATAAATCGTGTCCATTCGCATGCAAAGTGCTTGAGGTCCTGTTCAGCATACAAATTGCGGATGTGTGTCAGATCCTTCTGCTGTGGATGTTTATGATGCTGATCAAGTTTTGTAACTGAAATAAAATAAAAATTGTGGTTTTAAACACACTGTCACTTCCGAGTGGTAAGTATCGTGTGTAATTTCAAAAAATATCGTTTGCACATATGCACATAAATTTTCAGAACTTGATTAGGGGACCTTCTTAAATTGCGTAGCACTAAAAATGGATTTTTTAACCCACACCCCTCTTTTGTAATGCCTTCGCAAAACAACCTCCTCACTCGTAATATAATAAACATTTAAATTTCCGAAACAAATTAACACTGACATTTTTATTTTAAATGCCGGAATAAATCTTAATGTATGTAGTAGATAAATACAAATGAAATGTGTACGCTAAAAATATCACCAATAAGTTGTGTAAAAGCAAGTAATTTTTGCAAATTGTATCGTGGGGTGGCCAAAAAAAGTTCATATGTATGACGCTTGTCTGAAACCCCTCCCACATCGGTAACGGAACGTAGCGGTATGTTCACACCCCGACTCCCCTTGAAGCGTAACGTAATTTACATCTGAAAGTCCCCTTAAAGTTATACACGTACATACCTCTGTGGAATTACATCAGTCACATCTTGTAGTTCATCTCTCTGAGATTTTGAGGGTAAATTTACTTATGTACATATTCTCCAATCCAAGCCATTAAATCCGATCACTAAATATGAGAAATTAATAATTTATTAATTTTATTAATATACATAAATTCTAAGAAAGTATACCTATATATTTTTCATTCAATTATACATGTAAATATGCATATGCAGAGGGCGGACATGCAATATGTCAAGACAAATTGCTTAATTTTGTATTTAATAGTTATAAAAAAATGACAAAATAATGATGAAATATGTGCCAACAAAATATATGCTTCTGAATTTTCACAATTCTCTGGATTTTGAGTGGTGAAATTTCTCAGAGTAAAAAAAATCGTCTCAGATCGTTGAAATATTCACGAAATATAAATATTTGTGAACTTAAAAAAATTTCTAAAAGATTTAATTGTTTTTTCACTAGTAGAAAAACACGAAAAAAATGATATCAAATTTCTGAAGACCCAGAAATATAATTATAATCACAAAAATGCAATACATGATTTGTCCGTGGTTGCATTTCTTATACCTCGAACATGAATGGTACCGTAGGAAGGAGAAAACACTGACAAAACCATGTTGATGATATTTTTGGCGTTTTCGCAAAAAGTGCAAAAAAAATTTGCACTTTCAACGATGATATGCATTTTTTTTAACTTACCAATAAAACTAGGCAGCACTCCAACAAAGCTCGACCATCTGTCGTCATTAAATGAAAAGTTGTAAATAAATACATGTCTGCCCTCCGTCTATGTAAAATCTTTCAACAAAAAGAGCAAATTTTCTAATTAACAAAATTAATCAAACAAATTAATGACTGCAGAAGATATTTATAATTTTGAACATGCAGTATTATCAATTTCAGGAGTTACCAATTTCACAAAATTTTTACTCACATGGTTTTGAAGAGATTTCCAGATTGGTTATTAAATTAAATAACACTCGCGTATCCCGACAAAAAGTAGCTTTACAATTTTCAGTTTATGAAAATTTAGAAATTTATGTGTGTATGTAAAATTTATCAGATTTAGCCCTCTCCCAAGATTCCCTACCCAGGGAGAGGGCAAGACAACAATGAATATGAGATGAATCGGACAAAGAGAGGAAATCGTTTGTCTCTTGGCATATGCAGACCGACGATTTCGTTGCCATGGTAACGACCACGAGTGCCAGATGCTGCCCAACTTTCGTTCTGGGAACAAAGGAGGAGTCAACCTGGAATTTACAAGTATGTAAATTCGCAATCAACAAGTTTGTATGCAAGTGACTGCAATAAGACGATATATAACGTAAACGTTGATACATACACGCGGTTAGGGTAGCACAATTTTTGTTTTGTGTAATGTTGCATTTACACTTTTGTCTGACATGCTTGAGCCAAATGCACAGTTAAATACATTAATTTAGGTGTAAATATAGTAATATGTACCATATTTCTTTCCAGACGCGCTTTTGCTTGAAGCCCATGCCGGATTTGATGACGAGTTACATATTTCGAAATAATATTTACCTAAATATCTGTACATACATATGTATATGTAGATACATACATACATCTCAACGTCGCCAATCCATATTATAAGCTGAAAATGTTTGTCGGCAACGGAATTGAAAACAAATGTTCCACAACGGAAGTGAAAGTAAATAAAGTCACGTTTCGAATTATAAGAAAATTCAAAATAAATTCAATTAAAATATTAAATACCTGATGGTAGTTATCATACGAGTGGTTATCTGTTAGTGGTTGTCTAGGAGTGAGAGTATCACACCAGATATTTAAGCTTTTGAGTTTAATTTATCTTGAATTTTTGCACTTGACTTTCTTTACTTTCACATGCGTTTCGGAAAAGTACTTTCACTTCCGCCCGGCGCGCCGTCTCCCGCCGCGCGGCGGGAGACGGGCTTATATGCTAGTACACCCATATTGTAATTGAGGTATCAGTTTTATAGTTTATGATGCTAAGTCCGCATACATAGCCTGTGGATGTAATGATAACTCTTTATTGAAACAAAACCTAAATTTAATCGTAATTTATATTTTGCAATTTGATGTTTGAAGTAACTCGCCCAGGTCAGGTAATTTATTATGCGATATGATATGAAATATGTTTGTATGTGTGGGAAATTTGGATCACACAAATGTGTGTATTTTTTTGGAGTAAATTGTGGTTAGAATGATTGGGTTTTCCGTAAATAAATATGATTGATCCAAAAAAGAGTAAAATTATTGATGATTTACATCAAATTTTTATTTAATATTTCTTATTTCTTTGCATATAAAAAACTTTGGGGGTATCGATGCTTGCTTGTGTATTGATGTGTATGATATGAATATGTTCCACTTGCATACGTACCTACATATATTTCCATAATTACCTGTTTCCATAATTACTTAACTAAATTAACAATTGGAGTAAAACATAAGTACATTTAGTCAAATCATATAAAAATTACAACATTACAATTATTTAATCCATTTGGAACTACTTTTAAGTTTACTTGGGAATACAATTGAAAGCACCCGATGTCAAATGATGAAATTGTTTATAAAGATAATTAAAATACTTGTTAAAGATGAACACAAGTTTTTCTGAAATGGTAGATAAAGCATGTCTACCTTTATGCATTAAATACGTTTCAATTTTCGCGGCAACATTACATTTTTCCTCTGGACCAAACTAATGTTTTACGGTTTATACACTCATCGCTAGTGCTTTGAATTAAAAAATTAACGTTATGTTCACAGTCTCGGTGCTTGGTTTTGGATCGGGATGAATACGTGGACCAAACATTTTACCAAGAACATTAGGTGGGACGCTGGACCCCAACATTCGTCAAAGAAATCGACCGAACTGTAAATTGACCCCAACGGACAAGTTGAATTTAAGAAAATGTTGGATACCTGAAGGCTTTCCAATCCCCATAGTTATAACTGTGGACTACCTCACGCAACGTGTTCTTAGCCTGTATTTGCAAAGCATTAAGACTATACCAGCAAGTTGACCCTCAGAAACTCAGTATCTATAAATTTATTTAAAGCAATACAGAAAATTTGAAGAACCTAATATTTTCATTGATGTCATTTTCGAAGAAGTTGCTAAGTAAAAACAGTAGCTTTTGTAAATCTCTTCCTCGAATGTGTCTACTACGATGGAACAAAAAATTGTTCCAAAATTTATTTTCTTGTTAGCAATAAGCTCCATATGAACAATGGAATAACTTTTTTTTCTTTTCCCCTTGCTTTACAATTGCAAAGTTGACATTCAATATGATTTGCAACAGTTCATTAATCAAAAAATATAATCAAAGAATTACTATCAGTGGTTGAATAGGTATGTATGTAAAGAGCAGGAAGAACACAAAATTAGTAAGAAAATTACGAAAATCTATGCAAAAATTGTTTGCAACACTAGAATACTAACTCTAACTTGTATTACAAAACAATTAGTGACGGGAGTGAAGAAGGAGCCAAATTTCGTCAAGATATTCTGATGTAGAAGGAATCCTGTAGGACGAAATTAAATTGATGGCTCTAACATACCAAAAATCATGGTTGATGAAGGTGTGGATTAATGTAAAAGTGATTTACAAAATATTATGTAGCCAGGCCTTTAGTAAGTAGATCTACTTATTTACCGTATACATAGATGCCTTTAATAGTTTTGCTCGGCACTGCCAGAAACCACAGGGACTTCGTACGGTCCTTACCGCTACGAAAATTATCTGCCCTGTATTATCTAACAATGGTGACTTGTTACGTAAGATTCCCCAAATATTTCTGGAAGGATAAACTTACACACTCCGCCATTGTGTTCGTTCGATGCTAAAGTGTTTGTTATGTGTAAGTTATTTAATGTGGCCGGAGCCGGAGTGGTTAATATTCCCCCAGGAGAGATAAAGTTTATGACTCATACGACAACCTCAGCCCTTTGTGGACATTTTTGAGACCCTATGCTACTGTAATCTGCATAGACGACGCCACGTTCCTTCCCCGTGTAGCAGTCCGAATCTGTACACACAATTTTGCTCAGCAGGTCCACAAATTTCGCTGAACATTGGTCAAACAAATTGACACCAGCAGCCAGCAGGATATCAATTTTGAGAATAATGTATAACACTGTTTTTTATATGTCCTGTCGAAGTTATAGGAAGCCACAAACATATATGTGATATAGTATAATGTTAAATCGTAAATGCATAACGTAGTTACAATTAACGTTAGCGATTTTTTAAAGTTCCGAGATCCAAGACATATTGAGGGTATTGATTTCGAGTTCAGATTGTTCGCAATGTTCGCAAAAAAATGTAGCTTAAAAGTTGAATAGGGGCTTGCGAATCTCCGGGCCTAATATTTATAGAGTTAACAAAATGTTTTTCATAAATATGAAAGGTTTTGCAATGGGAAAAGTCGATAAATCTCTAATATCGTATTTACCAAAGGTTACCCTTTTGAAAATTTTGAGATTTCATACATCAAATTTGTAAAGAACAGGTTTATTTTGTGAAAGTGATTGTTGCACATTGAGTGCAACACAATCAAGGAGAAGGTTTCCTTATGTGCAATCTTAATCAGATACATTTGTCACATTCTAGTTTTATATCGTGATCGCCTCTGGGCAGTGAGGCAATTATTGCAAGTCATCTCATTGTTATCTCTCTCACTCTCTCTTTCAATATGTAGGTTAGAAATAGGTATATCAACCATATATAAACAGCAGTCACGGCAGTACACGACATCAATGGGAGAACAAGTCTTGGAGAGCCTGGGCGATGGGCTCAAGACGAGTCTTGTTGCTGCTGCTGCTGCTGCCCTTACCTCGCACAACCCTGCCAAACTGAATTGAATAAAAACTTGTCCAAATCAACATCTCAATCTGCCTCGAGAAACGTGTACATTATTTCTCATCCGGATTTCCACCACACGACCACAATGCTACGAGTGAGCCATATGTGGGGTCGATCTAGTGAACCCCCTTCGGGAGGATCATTACATTGGTACCCACGGCTACATCGCCCTGTCATAGGGTGAAGAACCGCACCCCCTGTCTTCCCCCCCATCCCCACATCGGTGTGACGGACTGTAACCCAGGTACGTAATAAACTTTTTAAATGCATTCTTAAATACTCCACTCTCCCCATCCCCACCATTTGGCGCCCCACGATTGGTCCGCACCCAGACAATTCTCATACGCCCCCCATTAGAACAACTAAGACGTGCCGGCATATTTACAAATAAAAACTTAGAAAACTGAAAAAAAGAGAAACAGAGATGTGAGAGGTAGTCTCGCGTCAAGGGTCGCTCCCTCATTATATTGCACTTTTGTTAGGACATGCCATGCCCCGACTGTACAGCGGGTTGAATTCATATAGGCCAGAGTAGCCCCTTTTTTGTTGTTCGCCAGTGAGCCGACCTTTATGCATATACATACCGCCGTAGAGCGATGATAGGCCAGAGTAGCCCCCCTTTTGTCCGCCATTGAGCCGACCTTTATGCATATACATACCGCCGTAGAGCGATGATAGGCCAGAGTAGCCCCCCTTTTGTCCGCCATTGAGCCGACCTTTATGCATATACATACCGCCGTAGAGCGATGATAGGCCAGAATAGCCCCCTTTTGTCCGCCATTGAGCCGACCTTTATGCATACACATACCGCCGTAGAGCGATGATAGGCCAGAGTAGCCCACTTTTGTCTGCCAGGCACTCAGGGCAAGGTATATTATTCAACGGTAAAACGCCGTATCATAATAATTTTGGCAACAGAGGGGACTCACCTCCTCACCAGGGCCCGAATGCCCAACAATATAATTTCGATAGCATAGGAGATATAGGAAATATAAGTGCAGAACCCCCAATCTGCCAATTACGATAGGAAATATAAGTGCAGAACCCCCAATCTGCCACCGAAATAATAATAATGATAATAGGAAATTTAAGGGCAGAAGCCCCAATCTGCCGATTACCATAGGAAATATAAGTGCAGAACCCTCCATTTGGGGCTTATCCATATTTTAGGTCATCAAAAATTCTCGATTTTATCACCCACCCACCCAACGTAAACATTAAGGGATTGGGATTTTTAACATGGGAAAAATAGGAAGACCAAAACCACCCACCCACTAAAATGATGACGTAATATATGGACGTTCCTTTGCCAACGTAATCATAATAATGATGCAAGGAAATCTCAGGATGGTAAACTCATGCATATGCTGGAGATGGGGAAGAGAGTCATCGACCCCCTCAACAACACAACTACTAGTCATGCAAAAACACCATATAACCGCTATTTAATAATTCATAATCCAGACCCGATAATACCCCCATTCCAGCGGACCTTCGTATAATTGCCCCATTACCAGGTTTAACTCGAGTTCACGGAACTCTTCGCCTAGTTTGCATTTTTCCAGATCTCAGGCTCCCCCGCCATTGACTCAAGACAAACCCCACCCAAATCCATTACGTCATCCCACAACCAACGAATTTCCTGCCAAATCTGTATACACTGGGTCATTCTGCTGCCTACCGATGCCAGCAACAAAATTTATCGCTCACATCACCGTTCCATCTTGGTTAATTGACCCCACTCTCAAAGATCACCACTCGAAACCATTTCCTTTTCTCGAACTCTGGCTTATTCCCAAATCTTTAAAACCTTTTTTTCCATCTCGGGCACAAGGCCCACACACGGACGATCAACCTCACTTCAGTTTTTCGGGCCTAACCCATACAAACACTACATTAAAAAAAACTACTTAAAAAAATATATTAGTTGCATATCTAGACATAGTTAAAAAGTGCATTCCTGTCTAACACACGATAGTGTATCATACAGTATGCAGATTTTTTTTTCTCTTCCTTCAGGTTTAGCTCATATACTAAATTATCTCTCTCCTAGGTGTCATTTTATACCTATATGTAAGCATATTCCTCCAATAAAAATTTCTCGTACACCAGAGGCTTGCCTCAGTTGCACGAGACAATTTTTCTGGTTCCCGTGACCCCTCTTATAGATATATATAGGATAACGTAAGTTAGGGTATTTGAAAACTCATCGTAGAATTCTTTTTGCATTTTTTAAAAATATACATTACCCATAATTAGACAGACATTAGTCATTTTCAGTCCCTTAACTCAACCCTTCATAGCTACTTCTTATCTCCACGTCATTTCCTTACCCAAATTCAGTCTCCTTAACAATCAATATTTCAGGAACCAATTACTTGGCTCAGAAATTTGCTCGTTATATAGTTATACATTCTTCCTTAGTTATAAATACTAACCCCGAATTTAAAAAATTGACTAGCAACCCCATCGGACATCCCCGAAGTCACCCCGAATTTCCAAAAACTTGACAACCAACCCCATAGAACACCCCGGAGTCACCCCGAATTTCAAAAATTTGACTACCAACCCCATCGGACATCCCCGAAGTCACCCCGAATTTCCAAAAACTTGACAACCAACCCCATAGAACACCCCGGAGTCACCCCGAATTTCAAAAATTTGACTACCAACCCCATCGGACATCCCCGAAGTCACCCCGAATTTCCAAAAAACTTGATAACCAACCCCATAGAACACCCCGAAGTCACCCCGAATTTCAAAAATTTGACTACCAACCCCATCGGACATCCCCGAAGTCACCCCGAATTTCCAAAAACTTGACAACCAACCCCATAGAACACCCCGGAGTCACCCCGAATTTCAAAAATTTGACTACCAACCCCATCGGACATCCCCGAAGTCACCCCGAATTTCCAAAAAACTTGATAACGAACCCCATAGAACACCCCGAAGTCACCCCGAATTTCAAAAATTTGACTACCAACCCCATCGGACATCCCCGAAGTCACCCCGAATTTCCAAAAAACTTGATAACCAACCCCATAGAACACCCCGGAGCCACCCCGACTTTCAAAAACTTGACTACCAACCCCCCAAAACAACCCGGCGTCACCCCGACAGTTTCATATCAACGCTACAACCCGACAAACCGCTCCAACATCATGTCCCATTCGTATGCAATAGTTTTTACGGCCTCATCGCCACACGTCCCCATACGCCGCCGCATTATTGTCAAATATCGGTTTATATTGGTTAAGTGGTTTATTTTACCAATTAGTTTAATTTACCAACTCTGTTAAAATAACACTATTTTAAAATCGCTAATAATTGTAAACAACAATAATGCAGACCAAGCAAATCTCACATTTTATTTCTGGACCGGGGCCCGGTCTAAGAAAGCCGGATATTGTAAAGAACCGGATTATTTAGGTAGTTCTAATATTAGTATTCAATCACGATGTGAAACTTGGGAAAGTGATTGACTCACTTTTTGTTGCAATTGCAACATCTACTCTCTCTTTTCCTGACCAACGGGTATAATCTAGGTTAGAAATAGGTACGAAAACCATATATAAGCAACAACAAGCGAGACGGAGAACAACGAGCCTGGGAGATGGACTCAAGAGGAGAATCTTGCTGCTGCTGCCATTACTTTGTCCAACACTCAGTCGATTAAGAATAAAACCTGTCCTGACTTTGTCTCACCAAATCTCACCCTGCCTCCGTTCCTCCAATTTATTTTGCGATGCACAACAACGACGACGATCAACTTGTCCATCATCTCTTCCCCCCCTAGCCGACGAAGTGGGGTCATTGTTAGTTCATTACAAATTCTACGGACCGTTGTTTGCGATGTGTCTCCACTTCGTTGCTTCACGACAAAGTCCCGAAGAGAACTCCCGACGAGCCTCTATGCAGATCTTCTGCAGATCCGACTGAAAGTTTTTGCAGATTTTGTGCACATTTCACCGCAACAGCTAGTCTGTAACCATAGTGTAGGCAACTTTTACCCAAATGACATCAAAAAAAGATCTGCTCGGAATCTGTAACGTATCTGCTCCCAACACGGACTACCAATCGAACACAGATATACGTGTATCAAATAGTTAAACATTTAGTGTCAATGTTATTTTACCAGAGTCTGTCTAATTGCATTTGTCCAATTGGTGCAAATTTTGTACAGATAAACTTTCAGTGTGTAACACAGATCACAGAGTGCCCAATCTGTGTCTCATTTGCACCCTCAGATTTGCGAACCAACCGCCATTTGTAACACGATACCCACATCACTCGTCTGGCTTGTGCCAACTGAACAGCAATGCGTTTTCTCTCTACTTCCTCCCGTCGTCCAATCAATTTCTGCAATGTCAATTAATAAGAAAATTTTTACCGTGGTTGAATTCAAGATTGATTTGGGTCTAAGTGTAGTCCCCACCAATTGGATTTCTAGCATTGGCGGAATTGATTTGTGTCCCTATCCTGATCCACCGCCAAAGGATTTTTATAAGCTACAATCAAATAAAGATTCTCTTCCAAAGGACGGGTGGACTAATCTGGAAGTGACTTGCGTCAAAACTTCGAGTAAGTTATCCCAACTTAATTCTTCAATTTTCAAGATTCAGTTGCAATGCTTTGGCGAGTTCAAGAAAGGTCTATAAAGTTATTTTAACACTCCGAAACTTTCGAAGGAAACTAAAAAAACTGTGGCGAAACTAAAAAGGCTACTGGAAAATAAGCCAATTGACTCCAGCGACGCAGAGGGAGTTAAACGTGGGCGATCGTCGTCCACAAATTTCAATATTGCCGCAGCGCCATTGGCCCCCGCTCAGCCAATATTTGGGGGTATGACCACAAACATTTGAATAAAAAACTCGCATGTAATAAATATGAATTAAATATGTTTTTTAAACTAGTACAAACTGAAATTAACCCTTCTGTTGATGAAATTAATCCCGGAATTGATCATCTTGTGGACACCAATGCAGAAAATAATTCGGTCACCACCAATCTTGAGTACCACTGTCTGCAGGTGGAACCGGATCCACGACTCACAGAATTACTGAATGAATTTCGAAGTAAGTAATTTGCGTATTTATAGTAAACTAATGGCAGTATTTGATGATGATTCTCATTTTAGAATTTCAAGTTGAATCTCTGCGAAACCAAGAACTTTTACTTGAACGTATTCACCAATTGGAGAAAATTGTACTGAATTCTCTAAACTCACAGCAAGGAGCAGCCTGTTCCGCTAAAAATACTTGGAGTTGGCCAATCAAAGACGAAGGCGAGCTAATATCAGTGGAAGTTTGGTTGCGGGATCCGACCAACTACAACTACGAGGTAAAAACTCTATTTACATTAACACTAATTGTAGCATAATACTCATGTGACTACACAATTTAGGTGTCCGTTTTATCAAAAATTGGAGGAGCAACTGTGACAAAGTGCGTATACAATACGCTGCAGTGGATGATATCTCATGAACTTGCTCTTACTCTTCGCTTAACCAACAAAAGCGGGAAAATCTCATTCGGAGACAAATTGATTGCCAAATTAATCCGAGGTTTGTGTTTTCATATTTTAAATTCCATTTGTAATTTACATTTTTCATTTTAGTGTTACTGACTCCATCACTCTGCTTACCATTTTTCAGATTCCGTCAAACGTGGGAACGAGGACGACGACGACGCTACTGATTCTAAAATAAACAATCACATTGGAGCTTGGCTACGTCAGTCAGCCGAACGAGACAAATCCCGAAAAAAGAAAAATGAAATTAACACCGCGCCGGACACAGAAGCGACGAGTGGAGAAGCGGGTGCAGGCGGCGCTGAAGAGAATCCGGGGAACTGAACTAAATGCATCGATCCAACCTGCAAATCTGGAATGTGATTCAGCGGAAGATTTCATTTTAAATGGTGATTGCAATTTCCAAAGCCCAGTCCAGCTAACTATATATGTAGAAAATCACAACATGCCAAAAGTAGTTGATGAATTGAGTGGTACACCCAATAAATTAGTTCAGTTAGGCCACTGGGCTACCCAATTCAATATCAATCATAACGCTTTGAAAAGTCTTTTAAGTTTAGTAAGAAATTGGCTTCCTCATGAAGGATTCCCAAAAGATCCTCGAACTCTGCTAAAAACGAAAAGGAAGATAAAAATCCAAGAAATAGAAGGAGGTTCCTTTTATCATTTTGGTATTCGCAGCCATATTTTAAAAGCAATTGAGAATAATAGAATCAGGCTTTCTGCGCATTCTCCTTTGTCCCAACTTCAAAACGTGCCTAATCTTTTAAGCCTTAAAATTGGAATAGATGGCTTGCCAATCTCAAAAAGCTCCAACAAACAATTTTGGCCCATTTTGGGAACAGTAGATCAGGATTTACTTCGTAGGGTATTTATTATAAGTCTTTTTTACGGATCTCAGAAACCACAAAATCTAGAATCTTATTTAGGTCCATTTGTACGAGACATGGTTGATTTAGAGCACCAAGGAATTTGTGCCCGTGGTGTAAATTATTCGGTCAGGACGCGGTGTATTGTAGCGGATGCACCAGCCCGTAGCTTTATTAAACGTATAAACGGACATAATGGCTACTACGGATGTGAACGATGCTATCGTCGAGGAACTTATAAATATTCCAGAATTCTTTATCCAATCAAGCCAGCTTGTGATTCTTACACGGACGAGTCGTTCAAAGAACGATGGTATGAAAGCCATCATAAGCAGGGTCCCCCTTCCCCTTTGGAATTATTAAACCTTGGTATGATTTCCCAGATACCTCTCGATTATATGCATTTGTGTTTGCTCGGGACTATGAAGAAACTTTTACTTGTTTGGACTGAAGGAAAAAAACCCCATAAATTTTCAAGTCTTCAAAAGCAATTAGTCACAAAACAATTAATGAGATTGAGATGCAGAATTCCTTCAGAATTTTCTAGAAAATGTCGCAGTATTTATGAACTGAAACACTGGAAGGCCACAGAGTTTAGACTATTTTTACTATACGTAGGGCCTGTCGTGCTTAAAAAAGTACTTCCAACAGACAAGTATGAACATTTTTTGCTTTTCCATGCAGCCATGCACATATTAGTATCGAATTGTTCGGATAAGCCAGAGTGGGTTTCATATGCAAAAGAACTAATTAATAAGTTTGTACAACTCCTTCCTAAACTGTATTATGCTGAATTTTTGGTGTACAACACACACAGTTTACTACATTTGGCAGATGAGGTCAAACTGCATGGACCTTTGGATAATTTTAGTGCTTTTCAATTTGAAAATTTCATGCAGCCCCTTAAAAGCATGTTACGATCCAAATCAAAGCACCTTAGTCAAGTTGTCAAACGAGTAGGAGAATCAGAGCAATTTCTGTCTCAAACAATTCCGAAACCTAGCCCACGTTGGTCTGTGGGGTCAAGAATTGCTGACCGCTGTTTTATGACAAAAGATAACCGAATTTGTCTTTTGTCTGACGGTAAACAACAGTCAGGAAATTTTAAAGGGTTTTACTTTAAAACTCCTCAAGATGTTAAACTCTATCCTTGTTCAAGTAGAAAACTTGGAATTTCCTTTGTTTCTCATTTGGGTTCGGATTGTTATATTTCTAGTGACTCTTTAGAAAAAAAATGTATTTTGTTACCAATTGATAACAGTGATCAGTATTTTTATTCTATTGTTTTGTGTAATTCATAATATGTTGAAATTACTCATGTGTATGATTTAATTTTAAATTTTGTATAAAGTATTTAGTATTTGAAGTATAAATAAAGAAATTGTGTAATAAATTCTTTACCAATAGACGAGTAACATTTTTGTGTATGTTGGTCTGCATAATATGTTTGCTAGTTCGCATGTACAGATCTGTTGTTATCAGATCTGTATGTGATGTGCAAAGAAAATAATGTAAAGATCTAATACTGCTGCATGCATACTGCAGATTTTCGTTAGTTTGTCTGTACCGTGTCTGCACAAATATTTTCTACCAATTGAGCACCACAAAATTTGCCATATCTGGACTTAAAGTGTACAGATATTTGATTACCCATTGTCTACAAAACTTTCAGTTCTTGGCTCGTCGGGCTCGTAATGAATGATCTCATTATAAATGAAACTCTTTGTTGGAACAGTTGGGCATTATTCGTAGAGCTGTGTATGAAGTTGAACATGCCACAGAGATGGCGCTGCGGTCTGCGGTGAAAAACGCGGCATGAGAAATTCGTTTCAGTGAATTAAAATGAATTTACATGTGACAAATGTCTCATAACCCAAGGATTATCGATGTATCTACATATGTACATGTCTCATCGTCTAACATTATTTTTTATAAAATATAAATCATTGCAAAAATTAGAAGTTGTATTGTGCCTACTTATTGCACGCCAAACAGTGTTTTGAACAAAAATGTCCCCAAAGTTACGATAAGTATGTATATGCATGTACTTATATGAGTCTAAAAATTTCCTTATAAGTAATCTAGCATCTGGAATGGCTTAGAATACTTTAATAAGTGCAGTGTATTGTTTACTTGCTGATGGAATGATGGCGGAATTTTGTAGGGACGAAATTTTTGCTCAGGTGATTGTGTTGCCAATACATCTTGTCCATTTCGTGTACATTAGGATGAAAAGTGGTTGAGGTCCTATCCAGCATACAAAATTACCGGTATGAGTCAGATCCTGCTGCTGTAGATGGGTACGTAAATCTGAGGCAGCTGGTACTTTTATAACTGAAATTTAAAAAAATGTGGTTTTATGTAAATAGCGTCCGAATGTTACATAAATATCGAGTTGTCAAAGGTTAAGAATTATTTTTAGAATTATCAATAATTTATCCATCGTGCGCACATATCGATAAAATTTCGACAATTTGGTTAGGGGACGTACTTAATTTACATGATGATCAAAAGTGATCTATTGAACAACACGTCCCCCCCCTTTGTAACGCTTTCGCATAATCACCTTCCTGCATTTACATATTTAGACATTTTGATTTCTTTTGCCGGATAAATTTCAAAGTAGTTAATACAAATTAAAATATGCACGCGAGAAATCAAATTATCTCAATGAAATCTTGTAAAAGCACGTAATTTATGAAAATCGCATTTTGTACAGACCAATAAAAGTCAAGTGCTTCTTGTAATACGAAACCCCCCTCCCCCATCCGAAACGGTTCATGATGCACTTTTTAAACCCCCTCAACCCCTTAAAGCGTAACGTAATTGAAAGCGTCGACTTAAAGTTAATGATAAACTTACCTCTATGGATGTACATAGTTCATCTCTCTGAGATTTTGGAAATTTTTCGGGTAAATTTGCTTATGGATGTACATATTCTCCAGTCCAAGTCGTTAGATCGGATTACTAAATATAAGAAATAAATCATTTATTAATTGTGTCAATATAAATTCTGAGAAAAACATATTTTGTGTAAATATGCATATGCAGAGGGCGGTTATTCAATTTATTAAGACAAATTGTTGAATTTTGTATTTAATATTTGCAGACAAATGGCAAAATAATATCGAAATATGTGTGCGAAAAATAATTTTATACTACTGAATATAATTTTCTCTATTTCAGGTGGTGGAATTTCTTAGAATTAAATAAAATCGTCTCAGACCGTAGAAATATTCAACTAGCATATCTATGAATTTTTAAAAATTATCTAAAAAGATTTGCATATTTTTCTCCCAATAAATAGTGGAGATATTTACCAGCACGTCCATATGCTATTTAACAATATGCAAAAAAAATATTATGAAATTTCTGAAAACCCAGAAATATATAAAATATTGTTAGAGATACAATACATGATTTGCTCATAGTTGTATTTCTTATACTTCCAACACGGATTGTACCGTGGGAAGGAGGAAACGCCAAAAAAAAATCATGTTAATGATTTTGTTGTATTTCTGGCGTTTTCGCGATTGGCGAAGGTGCAAAAAATTGAGCACTTTCGACAATGATATGTATTTTTTTAAACTTACGCATAAAATTATGTAGGTAGCACTCCAACGAATCTTGACCATCTGTGAACATCAATTGAGAAGTTGCAAATAAATGCATGTCCTCCCTCCGTCTACATAATGTAAAATCATTCAACAAAAGCTACAAATTTTCTAATTAGTAAAATTATGCAAAAAAATTATTGACTGTAGAACATATTTATAATTTTAAATACAAAGTATTTTCAATATCAGGAGTGATCAATTTCACAAAATATTTACTTACATGATTTTGAAGAGATTTCCAGATTGTTTATTAAATTAAATAACACTCGCGTGCCCCGACAAAAAGTAGGTTAGATATTTATAATTTTCAGCTTATAAAAATTTACAAATTAATGTATGTAAAATTTATCAGATTTAGCCCTCTCCCAGCTTTCCCTTCCCAAGGAGAGGGCAAGACAACAATGAATGCGAGATGAATCGGACAAAGAGAGGAAATCATTTGTCTCTTGGCATATGCAGACCGACGATTTCGTTGCCATGGTAACAACAACGAGTGCCAGATGCTGCCCGACTTTTGTCTTAAGAATAAAGACGGAACCAACCTGGAATTAACAAGTAGCTAAATTCGCAATCACCAAGTTTGTATGCAAGTGACTGCAAAAAGACGATATATAACGTAAACGTTGATACATACACGCGGTTAGGGTAGCACAACTTTTGTTTTGTGTAATGTTGCATTTACACTTTTAGCTGACATGCTTAAGCTAAAAAAACATTTCCATAAAAATATGTTATATAAAAAATATACTCGAGTATCATATTTGTTTGGAGACTTGCTTTTGCTTGAATCCCATGCTGAATTGGAAGACCAGTTACATATTTCCAAAAAATATCTACCTAAATATTTATAATTGGCCCTGAAATGTATTTGTGTAGTTTAGATAATCATGTAATAATGCATTGTTTCCCATTATGTAGGACCAGATTCCGTTTTTCATTATTATTACTCTATTTAATTGCTGTTCTATCATTTTTACAATGAAAATTTTTAACGTTAATTTTTACCTGCGATCATTTGACCTGATTTGAATGAATCGTAATTAAGTTCATAATGTTGCTACATGCCTAACTGTAGGCCTAACTAACTGCATGTAACTGTATGCCTAATGTGTGTGTAAATATAACTTTAATTTATTATTCACGACATGGTAGAAAATAAGGCACATAAATGTATTCACACATGTTAGTATAAATTTTATTTGGAATAATACGCTGAATATGTACTATGCTGAATATTGTGTTAGGTAAACGAGACTAATGAAAAAAATGATATACATATGTACATAGTTCTTGTTTATAAGACTTTTATTTATTGATTAATTATCTACTTAATTATAAATTTGTACTTGATATGCGTACACTTTTGAATGTAAATGTGTACATATTTATATTCACATACATGTATGTATGTATGTACCTATATAAATACATATCTACAATAACTGTGTTAAATTACGAATTGCCTAAACTAATTACAGTAGAAAAGTAGTACATTAAGTGTAACCTAAATCATCATTAAAATGCTACGATATTACAATCATTGTAATTATTTGTAGATGTTTAACATTTGTTGGGAATAAATTTGAAATTAGAAAAGGCCAAATAATTACAGTTTTTGTTTATAAACTGTGTAAAAATTAAATGTTTATTGAGAAACGAAGAGCAGCTTTACCGGAAAGAGTTCGTAGGACATAGCCGCCCGTATGCCTCACATTCTACATATTTGGGAAATAGGAGTATCATAAATACGTTTCTCTTGTTCCCACAATTCTCATAGTGTCAATAGACAATGACTTCCACGACGTCAACAAAGTTTTGGAATGACAAAACACCCTACGCGTCTCTATTTGCTAGCTTTTTTGACAACGAAGCAATCAAAGATTAATCTGGTGACAAGCGAAGCCAACCCAACCCGTATATGAATGCCCAGGTTTATGGCTGGAGGGTTGCCCGCGCCCTGGAATTTGGGCATTTATGGCATAGGGAATTTGCCCAATTTTCCCGGCATTTAAATTAATGCCCCCATAAGCTCATAACCGCCTAATGCATTTATGCCCTCGATAAATGCCTAAAATTCCAGGCATTTATTTTCATCCCCAGGGCAGCCTCCTGCCCTACCAACGTCCCCGGGTAACCCTGTGTGATCTACCGGAGGTTGAAGAAACTAGAGACACGTGTACGTCACTTGGGACCTACATACCACTCCTTTCTTGAAGGAGAATGCATTAAATTGAATGTTTAATTGGACCAACGTGCAAACTTTATTTTTTTGACCGCAGATGAAATAGTTAGAACAAGTGTTGAGTAAAAGGTGGTGGCCCGGTGGACCCCACTCTTTTCTGCACTTGTTTATGTTTGTTGAAAATGACCCCCAATTAGAAGTTATACTGAACTTAAAAAATATTAACTGTGACAACTCCTACCGAATTACCTCTTCGGCCGGGATGCGATACATCGAGAATCCGACACGTTGGGCGATAAGTACATACATCTAAACTATTTGTATTTTTTTGTATTTTTATTTGAATCCTAAACCCTTCCAGGCCGAGGCCCATAGAGTTACATAATAATAATTTAAGTAATATAAATAAAATAAAATAATTAATATTTAATTAAAAATACTAATATTCAGGGGTGGGCAAGATACTTGGTCAAGATACAAGATAAAAGATACAAGATAGTATCTTTATCTTGTATCTTCGTCGCCTGATCGGAGAAGTATCTTGTATCTTGTATCTTGTATCTTTTAGAAAGTTGAAAGTATCTTGTGAAAGTATCTTATCTAGATATGCCTGGCAGAAAAGTATCTTAAGATAGTTGACAAGATACAAGATACTTTTTTTCAAAATTCCGTCAAATTAAGTCAATTTCCTACTACAGTCAGTCAATTTGACCATGAATTTGTCGTAATCAGTGTTTGGTGAATTTTTATTTTATGTTTTGCCAATTAGTAACAAACCTGCACATACATACGCATGTTCACATACTCATGTATACATATATGTACACATATATATATGTATATAAGTTAATGTGTACATATGTACACATACACATGCACAATGTGCATTGCACATTACATGATATGTATATAACTACGCTTAACAAATATAAGTTTATAGGGTTTAGTTTGATTTGAATAAGCAGGGAATATATTACAAACTTCGTAAAAATATTCGCATGTTAGTTACAGGTCTAGTTTTTCGAAACTTAGACATTTTTAAAAGTATAAGCACTGGCAACAAAATTTGTATGATTATACAATGATTTTAAATTTTTTACTAACCGGTTAGGGTAGTAAAATTCGGATTTTTTCGTTTAAATTATTAAACATGACTAATTGGGCATGAATACCAGGCTAAAAAAATAAAGTATCTTATCTAATATAAAAGTATCTTAAGATACATATCTTGTATCTTGTATCTTGACTACTCAATTATTAGGAAAGTATCTTGTATCTTGTATCTTGTGTACTTGAGCAAGATGTATCTTTTATCTTGTATCTTATATCTTATCCTAGAAAGTATCTTATCTTGTATCTTGTATCTTACGACCAAAGTATCTTGCCCACCCCTGCTAATATTTTAAAGTGAGTTCTACTTTAACGATTTTGTTAAGTGAGTTCATAATTGCATGAGTAAGAAAATGCTTGCATAATATAAGTTGTCTAATTTGAATAAGTAGTTAAATTTCCATTAGAATATGATTAAAATAATCTGTATAAATTGTAAATATACATCTAAACTATAAACTGTTATGATTATTCCAGCGAGTTGACCCTGAACACTTATGTAAATAGATAAAATGGTTAAGATTCGTGAAGTACGAAATCGCAAAAGCACAGGTTAATTAGAATATGCGCAAAGTTAGATACCCCATAAAAAGCGGGGCTCGAGAATTACAGATGTGTTAGACTACGATAGATACCCTACGTACAGCACCAGGGCATAAATTTAAACCCACTCGAATGCTGCGCGCCCCAATGGCTCAAGGTTATCAGCAGATTTTATTCAGCCATCGCGTTTAGGTTTATGTTGTACAGAATTTAACTGGCTTTCCAACGGTACTACATTTGGTTATGAAAAAATTAACGGGTATGCGTAATTAATCATACCAGAAAAAACACAAAAAATTTAGCTGCAAAAGTTTAAACCCGCTCCTTATTAAAAATTACTTCATAACGAAAGGGGGTTAAGGCAAGGGTTTAGCAATTATTTACATTCATCATAGGTACTCTACTTGCAGAAAAAACTAAACAATGGGAAAAAATCGGGAGTTGACGATTGTGATAACAAATTATTGTAAATCTCCGCGAGCGAGACCTGGGGCACATAAAAATTAGTGCTATTACCAAATTTAACAAAAGTTCAATTAAAACAATGATTAGGAAATAGAAAAATATAGCTACTGTACCGAGTAATCCTAAATCGGGACGCCCAAGAGTCAAATCTAAGCGAATTGACTGAAATATTGTTCCAAAGGCAATCCAAAATCGTGGGATGGCACTCAAAAATTTGACCTCCGACAGCAAGGGGCATTGTGAGATCCAAATTAGCGCATGAATTGTAAAGAGGAGACCCCATGGACCAAGTCCCAAGCGACGATGAGTTCGAAAAAATATGTGCCTACCTGTGAAAAGCTTAACCCGAAGCCTGAAATGGGCTAATGAGCATTCTGGATAAACCACCCAAAACTGAATCAAGGTATCATGGTCGAAAAAAATAAAACTTGGTATTTTCGTGAATTAAGTGGTGAATTATGTTTGGGTGAGACCTGGGGAAGGTCTTAAAAAGCAGTGACTTGTACGCAACGTACAATACATTCATTTTTCAGATTCAAGACATTTCAGAATACTCATTGGCCCATTTCAGGCTTCGGGTTAAGCTTTTCACAGGTAGGCACATTTTTTTTCGAACTCATCGTCGCTTGGGACTTGGTCCATGGGGTCTCCTCTTTACAATTAATGCGCTAATTTGGATCTCACAATGCCCCTTGCTGTCGGAGTTCAAATTTTTGAGTGCCATCCCACGATTTTGGATTGCCTTTGGAACAATATTTCAGTCAATTCGCTTAGATTTGACTCTTGGGCGTCCCGATTTAGGATTACTCGGTACAGTAGCTATATTTTTCTATTTCCTAATCATTGTTTTAATTGAACTTTTGTTAAATTTGGTAATAGCACTAATTTTTATGTGCCCCAGGTCTCGCTCGCGGAGATTTACAATAATTTGTTATCACAATCGTCAACTCCCGATTTTTTCCCATTGTTTAGTTTTTTCTGCAAGTAGAGTACCTATGATGAATGTAAATAATTGCTAAACCCTTGCCTTAACCCCCTTTCGTTATGAAGTAATTTTTAATAAGGAGCGGGTTTAAACTTTTGCAGCTAAATTTTTTGTGTTTTTTTCTGGTATGATTAATTACGCATACCCGTTAATTTTTTCATAACCAAATGTAGTACCGTTGGAAAGCCAGTTAAATTCTGTACAACATAAACCTAAACGCGATGGCTGAATAAAATCTGCTGATAACCTTGAGCCATTGGGGCGCGCAGCATTCGAGTGGGTTTAAATTTATGCCCTGGTGCTGTACGTATGAACGGTCATAAAACGAAATGAACTTGTGGAGAAGAGCAACTCGTTTTATCTTGACAGTTTAAAAATTACCGAATTTAAAATACTAGAGTTCTGACCCAATAATTGCACAGTGTAGGGTGAATCATTCCTACTAGATACCTGAACCCCAATTTTATTTCAAAATAAGGAGTATTTACATAATTACTGTAGAAGCTAAGGTTGCAGACTCATCAAAAACATCAAGTCCGAATTAAAATGAGGGTAATTATACCAATTTTTTCGAATATCGATCGAGACAAATTGTAAATAGTCTGGGATAGAGTCTTGTGTAACATTTGCGCCTAACGTAATTACAATTAACGTTAGTGGCGGTTTAAAATCTTGTGCATTCAGCATTACAGATTAATTATGAGCGGAAATCAATGTTGGAGCAATATTTTTCAAAGTGCTCTGCAGCAAGTTTAGTATTCAGCAGAAGAACACGGTGATCCCTATGTGATTCCATGAAAAAGGTGAAGCAGATTCGTTTAAGCATCCTAAAATTGGAGTAATTACCAGTTCGAAATGATAAGGCAGCGTTTCCTGAAGAAGGAACTATGATAATAAAATATCCACTAATAACGTTGTTTCTTCATATGTTTCGCTGTTGATTCGAAAGCACAGGTCTCTTAATGTTTCCGTACTTACATACATTCTCATAAGAAGGAATGCAAATTCCCACCAATTGCATGTGATCTCTCCGTGCAAGTGAGTGAAGAGAAATTGCAAGTATGTAAACTGCATGTAAGATATAGCGAAATAGAAAAATTAAAAAAGATCTTAAAGAAAAACCTTTCCAAAACCCGCACTTGCTGATGAAGATGGCAAGTGTCTCCATTCATAAAAATGAAAATGAAGCAGAATTTACGATTTGAAGAATGTTAGACACGCCAACTTTTCCGAAAAAGTGCCACAATAACGGGGGCGATGTGAAATACTGAAAACCCTACAAGTAAAATACCTTTTCTCCTCTGGTACTGGTAAAAAATTGGGTCAATATCCTTTAGCAAGGAGCAAGAGGTTTAATAAGTCAAGTCAAGTCAAGTAATCCTTTATTAACATGTCAACAAATATCAGTTAATATAAACTGGTTCCCAATAAAGCCAGGTGGACTTATACACATACAAGAAAGGAAATCAGGACTTCATGACAAAGTATTTCACAAATTTCATCGTAACCTGCCACCAAATTTAGAGAGAAAAAATTGGTATGCATTTCTCGTGAGAAAATTAGTCTAGTAAAAAAAATACCTGCAAAATTGGACTGACGAAATTCTCCAAATAATCTTATGAGGTACCCAAAACGTTTAGTCACTACTACCAGATTCCCAAAACATATGCATACCTAATTCGCTTAGTACGTCCTTTGCAGCAATTTACACCAAAATACTAGAACTCAATCCAAATTCATTTTCGATTAAACATCAATACCTTCGAGACGTAATCTCGAAACAACAATAAAAATAACCGATCCTACACAAGAGCCGATTTTGGTAATATTTACTCCACAAATCGTGGCAGCGATGTTCGACTACTTGAAATAAACTTTCCATAATTTACAATGCAAAATTCCCCAGACTCCGTCACTCCATGCAATTCTCCGGTAACGCCGATAGTTTGCGGACTCGAAATCAAGGATGTTAAGCGTCGACTACGCATTTTTTCGGTCGACCTCATCCTCGCCAGAGGGGGAAACCATAGAGGAAATTGTAGGGATGGTGGAAGTTTCTCCTGGTGAAATTTTTGCAGATCCTGAAGTATCAAGATGCCAAAATATAATTTGGCCGTGGTCCCTAAGCCATGTCTAGGAGTAATGAACGCGTCGAGATTTGCAATAATGCCAAGATATGTATCAATACCAAAATACCCTGACACATTATTTAATACTAATTTTATAAATTGATTCATTCCGACAGTTTTTGCGACACTTTGGAAATACTTTTGTTATAAAACACTCTTGTTTAAACAACCGGATATGAAATAGTGTGATACTTTGTCAACACGGAGGTAATGAATAGTTCACTGTGGTATAATATGTATAATGTTACAGTAAATGCATAACGTAATGTTAGCAATTTTTAAAGTTCCAGCAACAAAGACATATTAAGGGTATTCATTTCGAGGTCGCGTCGGTATTAATAGCAATATTTGCCAAAAGTTCGCATAAAAATGGCTTAAAAATTGAATTGAGAGCTTGCACATCTCCACGGCTACTATTTACATAGTTTACAAAATATTTTTCACACATTTGTTGTAATGGAAAAAATTCATAAATTTCCGGTTTCTTATTTGCCAATGTGGTTCCTTTAAAAAAAAATTCCTGAAATTTGATTTCCAGATTTCCTGAACCGTCACTTGCGAAGCGCCTCCACTACGTTGCTTCACAAAATTGGCAATTTCAAAATAGTACATGCGTACATGCGCACTCGGAATGAATACCCTCATCATGAATTAAACCCTATTTTGGAACAGTTGGGCGGTATTCGACATACCGTATACGAAGTTTAACGTTCCGCTGGACGTGAAAATGCAGTGATCCGTGAAAAACGTGACATGAGAGATTAGTATAAGCTAACTGACATGGGATTTACTTGTGACAAATGTCTCATAACCCAGATATTATGTATGTATGTACATATCTACATATGTACATGTCTGATCATTTAACATCGTTTTTTATAAAATACGAATCATGCACAAAATTAGAAGTTGTAATTTGCCTGCTTACTGCAAGCCAAAGTAATAAAACGTCCCCAAAGTTACGATAAGTATGTATATGTACTTGTCAGAGTCTACAAATTTCCTTATTAATAATTTTGCATCTGGATCGGCTGAAAATAGTTTTAAATGCAGTGCATTGTTTACTTTATGATGGAATGATGGCGGAATATTGTGGGGACGAAATTTTCACTGCAGTGATTGTGTGCCAATAAATCTGGTCCATTTCGCATACATTCACATGCAAAGTGGTTGAGGTCCTGTTCAGCATACAAACAGCGGATGTGTGTGGGGTCCTGCTGGTGTAGATGTTTATTAGGCCGACTGTAGTTCTACAACTGAAATTTAAAACAAATTGTGGTTTTTAAACAGACCATATTTTCCGAGTGGATATTTTCCGACCTATCACCAGCGACGCTGGTGGTAAGTAGCAAGTAATGAGTGGAGATATTTAAAATCATTAGATTTAATAATTTAGCCATCATGCTAAGGGTTGATTCATAAATCGTGGCACAGTTTGCCTTTAGCTCCAGATTTAACAAAGATTCAAATTATTGGGTATGAATTGTTGCATATGATAGTCCAACCGATGTAGTGTTAGGGTTTTACTTCAAAAAGGTTGGCAATTAAACTAGAACATGGTCAGACAAAAAGAAAAACAAGTCCAAGCAAATTTCTTGGTGCACTTTTACAAAAATGCGGCCAAATTGGACGAGAAAAAGATGCACCACCACCTCAAAAATGAAAATATTCCAAATCCCTCAAATTGCCATCACATGTCAATGTATGCTTCAAGAAAATGGGTGTGAAATATGAAGTTAATGTATTTCCCAAAGTCAAATTTCCAAAAACTGACAGATTTGGTTAGCGTTGGACGAAAATGAAGCAATTTCAAAGCCCTCAATTATGGATTGGATCATGACCCCATGTCTTTATTTATCAAAATGTATCAAACACCGATTATTTCCTTACATAAATGGTCATGAGGAGACAGATTTTGGTGATATGAGGCCACCTTCCATTACGGTTGAATTATTACCGACCACCTCAACGATAAAAAAATTTGGTTTCTGGCAAAATTGGAACATGCCAACAATGTTCTCCAGACAAGTGGGATTGAAAGATTTTAGGCTTGATGCAAAAGAGAACATCCATAACGACTGAAAGTGACGAAAATCCTGCTTTGAATTCGACTCGTCATGAGTCAAACCTGAAGATTGTGGGGAGAAAGTCAGGAAAGGCAAAAATCAACAGGCCTGGAAAAACCTGTGAGAAGTTTCTTCCAGAGGGTCGACGGGACCAAAGTGATTTTGGTCAATGTTGTGCATCGCATTTGTAACAATTATTAACAAAGTTGTTAACATTTCAACTTATTGTTTAGTAATGAACGCCTTTTCAAATCGTGCCACGATTTATGAATCAATCCTTATATACATACATATTACTTGTGTAAAGTACTTTTGAGAAGTTTATTTGGGAACGATCTTAAACGACGTAACGCTTAAAAAATATTTTTTATCTCCCTCCTTGTTTGAACAGAATTTGTGAAATACGCTAGATATCAATTGATCGCAAATAAATCGTTTAAGAGCACGTGGTTTACGAAAATAGCATTTTGTGCCGCGTGTCGCATGTCTGAAGTTGCCCACCCCTGTCTGTAACAGTTCGTAACGGTATTTTAAAACTTATCCAACATTTTTAAAATTTACCCACCCATTTCACAAGTTTTGCATAACGTTGGATAAGTTTTACCTTATGGTCATGTCATCCGCTTTTTTACTCAGCCTTGAGTAAGTTTTACTTATTTTTATTAAGTGTGTGTTACAGAATTTAAGAACGTCCCATTAAAATTAATGATCCATTTACCTCGGTGAAATTAAATCAGTTCCAATTTGTAGTTCATATCCAGGGTTCGGAAGAAACCAGGGTTTTAATCAAAAATTATAAAACCCATGGGTTTTAATGGGTTTTACCATGGTAATTGGGTTTTATTTGGGCTTTAATGGGGTTTATTGGGTTTTATTGGGTTTAAATGGGTTTTATTGGGTTTTATTAGTTTTAAGTAATAACTTACCTACTGGGCCCAGGCAAGCTGAAAGTAGCTCTTAACTTCAAAACCGCTGGAGATAATAAAAATCTGATAAGTGCATTGGATTCCTCGTGCAATTTTGCATAAGTAACAAAAATCAGTTTTTAACTACCTGGAAAGCAAATCAGCAGAGAAAAGTTTGAAATGACGCAGGCGACGATAATTTTTCACCTAAAAATTGAGGAGAGAAATGGTGAATTTGAAAAATATGATGGGAATCGAACCTAAACTTTAATTTGATCCAAGGGCATATAAAAACGTTCATTAAGTTTGGGTCGACTAAGAACGTTCGAAGAAATTTTTTTATAAAACCTCCAAGGACCACACCCATCGTGAAGGCGCTGAAGGCTAGAATCCGAAGAAATTCACGAAATTTCCACGGATAATAGCCTCACCGCTGACACTGTTGATGCAAATTACCCAATGAGTGCTCAAACTGACCCTCCGGCTTAGGGCTTTGAAACGTGATACTCCCTTTATGCTCAACAACCCCCTAAAGAAAGCCACATTAAAGAAACTCAAGGCTTCCTTTAAGCGGTGCGCTCTAAAAACGTGAAGATAATTTTTTTTTACAAATGAGTAACTTTTGACTGTGAATCAATATTTTTACAAACGAAATGGCAGAATCTACGCAAAATCTTTCAAAGATATCCCCCAATAAAGAAAAAAGGTCAAGAGTTTACATTATCCAGGTTTTGCGATGGTTTTGGCATGTGTGAGCTGATTGGGGGTAATTTTTCATAATTTCGTCGAAAATGGGGAGAAGGTGAGGGATCAAATTTCTTAAAATATGTTTTTAAGTCCATCGTACATCCCCTAAGTGAGGCCATATTCAATGGAGTCAACGAGACCTTTGCAAAGGGCTCAGCACCAGCTAATAGTGCAAAAAATGATTAAAGCGTAGCTAAAAAACCAAATTCCGGACTTCATCTCTATTTGGGATTTTCCATTCTCCTTCTTGGATTTGAATCCCCGGACTATAAAAGATACTAATACTTTGAGGCAAAGGTGTGTTCTAAGCCTCGTAAAAGTGCAAAGGCTCCAAAAAAATCTTTGACCCTGGAATGGAGCAATTTATCCACAAATTCAATGCGCACTTTAGTCGAGGACTCGAGGCCGCTTCTTCTGCACTGCATTAATGTAGGAGGAGGAAATTTCGAAAGCTAAAAACTGTTTTCTACTCAAAAACTAACTGGCTTTCCATTCAAATTTACTAGAAATGTGTAACACAAAAACTGTGGTAGCTACAGCGTTTCATTTCACTACCAGTTTGCCTGGGCCACCTAGTAACAAAAATAATTCGGAAGTTGTATCTATTTGAAATTATTTTTGTTTTATAACACTTGAAATCTGTGATGCTAAAGGATGGAGTCAATTGTTGATTTGTTCCGAATTTTCATATATTAGAATAGTAATGAAATAAACTGCTTTAGAATGAATTGAGATTCGATTCAATTTGTCTTCTAACGTATAGGAGATGTATTTAACTATTAAAAAGTAGTTTTAAGGTAAAATTCAATTAAAACCTAATAAAACCCATTAAAACTAGGGTTGCCGCGGGTAGCGAAAATGCTACCCGTTACCCGACCCGCTACCCGCAGTACAATTACCGTACCCGCACGGGTACCCGTGCGGGTACCCGTTACCCGTTATGAGAATTAAGTTAAGAACTAACCAACCTTCAGAATTAACTTGATTTAGCAATTATTTGCCCATTTGGGTTGTTCAGTAGTTTGAGATACTGCTGTGCAAGTTACGAATGCCATATTTTGCTAGATCTCGTTAGAAGTTTCTGAAACCAGACTTTTAGGCAGACAATGGAACCTTTTTCAAGCTACACCGGAATTTCTTAGCGATTTATGTTAAAACAATCAAGCCAAAAATTAGGAATTATCACTTATCTTTCTGCTGAATAGCCCATTTAACGATAAATATGTATTGGGGACAGAGTTCAAAGTCCATCATAGTTTTCGTCCCGTGGAAAAAAAGATGCAGAGCATTTACTTAAAAATTCAACTTTGCGCCAATATTATTCTTCAAAGTGGAGATTCAATGGAAAATATCATGCGATTCCTAATTTTTGGCTTGACTTTTTGATATAAATACTACATGGAAAGTAGTGTACTTGAAAAAGGTTAAGTTTGACTTTTTAAATTTTGATTGAAAAAAAAAATTATCTACAAATAAAATATTTGATTTCAATCGGGTTTAGGTTTTTCACCTTCAAAGCACAAATTGAAATCTCATGAGTCTTACGTTAATACACACAAATTCAAGTCAAATTATTACTGATATTTGAGAACAGGCAAATTATACTTTGGTTACAATAATTTCTCCGCATTTTTGGGACGAGAAAACCATTTGAGGCTGCCGTAGGCTTCTGACCTCCGAAAAGACACTCGGTGAAAACGCCAGTAGCTGGCAAGTGGCAAATTTTGAAATGGATGAATAATAAATTGACGCTATTGCTGGTAAATAGACTAACTTGCTGCCAAGTTTCCTTGTGAATTGATTTATGTCCAAAATTAAATAAAAACTGAACTACCCGTTACCCGTGCGGGTAGTTTTCGCTACCCGCAGAAAACGGGTACCCGCAAGAATCGAGCGGGTATGCGGGTAACGGGTACCCGACCCGTTACCCGCGGCAACCCTAATTAAAACCCAAATAAAACCCACTTAACATGGTAAAACCCAGTGAGTTGTATTCATTTACAACCCATTAAAACCCAATAAGACCCAATAAAACCCAACCCATTAAAACCCAGGTCGGAATACCCTGTTCATATCCCAGAGTTGCTGGAAGTTTTTGAGAGAGTTCTGGTAGAGTTAGTTACGTACATATTCTCCAGTGAAAGTCGTTAGATTCCATCCAGAGGTCGACGCCGCCGCGCCGCCGGTAGCATTTTATGCACCGCCGCCGCCACCGAAAAATTTGATTTCCTATTCCTTCAACATTGCGACGCCGCGCCGCGCCACCGACGCCGCCGAAAAATCACCACAAACATTCGCCGCCGCCGCCGAAAATTTGTCGGCGTCGACCTCTGATTCGATCACTAAATATATGAAATTAATAACTTATTAATTGTGTATAATTAATTGTATTAATTAATTGTACATTATTAATTGTATATTAACCAATATGAATCAGAAAATATGAATATTTTTTATTCAATTGATGATTCATATGCAGAGGACGGCTATGTATGTAAGATTTTAGGAAAAATTGCGGAATTAAATATTTTTTCAATATTTGAAGAAAATGTCAATATAATAACGAAATATGTATGTATATGTGAAAAAATTGAATCATAAATATTTCTGAATTGAATTCTCTAGGTTTTAAGTGGTGGAATTTCTACGAGTAAAACTCGTCTCAGATCGTTGAAATATTCATCAAATATATTTATGAATTTAAAAATTATCGAAAAGATTTACATATTTTTCTACCGATAGTGGAGATATTTATCAGCATATGCCCAAAAACTAGAAAGATGCCCATACGCATACATGTATATTTAACAATATGTAAAAAAAAATATTATGAAATTTCTGAAAATCCAGAAATATATGAAAAAGGCTGTTAAACATGCTATACATACATGATATGTTCGCCGTTGCGTTTGATGGCACCGTGGGAAGGAGGAAACGCCAAAAAAATCAGATTTTGCATCTTCAACGGATATATATTTTTTTGAACTTACGCGTAAAACTATGTAGGTGGTACCCCGAAGAAGTTTGACCATCTGTCGTCATCAAATGAAAAGTTGCAAATAAATACATGTCTGCCCTCCGTCTATGAAAAATCTTTCAATAAAAACAGCAAATTTTGTAATTAGCCAAATTATGCAAAAAAAAATATTGACTGTGGAACATGTATATAATTCTGAATAAATTATTTTCAATATCAGGAGTTATAAATTTCACGAAATATTTATGTACTTACATGTTTTAGAATAGATTTATAGACTGGTAACTAGGGTTGCCGCGGGTAACGGGTCGGGTACCCGTTACCCGCATACCCGCTCGATTCTTGCGGGTACCCGTTTTCTGCGGGTAGCGAAAACTACCCGCACGGGTAACGGGTAGTTCAGTTTTTATTTAATTTTGGACATAAATCAATTCACAAGGAAACTTGGCAGCAAGTTAGTCTATTTACCAGCAATAGCGTCAATTTATTATTCATCCATTTCAAAATTTGCCACTTGCCAGCTACTGGCGTTTTCACCGAGTGTCTTTTCGGAGGTCAGAAGCCTACGGCAGCCTCAAATGGTTTTCTCGTCCCAAAAATGCGGAGAAATTATTGTAACCAAAGTATAATTTGCCTGTTCTCAAATATCAGTAATAATTTGACTTGAATTTGTGTGTATTAACGTAAGACTCATGAGATTTCAATTTGTGCTTTGAAGGTGAAAAACCTAAACCCGATTGAAATCAAATATTTTATTTGTAGATAATTTTTTTTTTCAATCAAAATTTAAAAAGTCAAACTTAACCTTTTTCAAGTACACTACTTTCCATGTAGTATTTATATCAAAAAGTCAAGCCAAAAATTAGGAATCGCATGATATTTTCCATTGAATCTCCACTTTGAAGAATAATATTGGCGCAAAGTTGAATTTTTAAGTAAATGCTCTGCATCTTTTTTTCCACGGGACGAAAACTATGATGGACTTTGAACTCTGTCCCCAATACATATTTATCGTTAAATGGGCTATTCAGCAGAAAGATAAGTGATAATTCCTAATTTTTGGCTTGATTGTTTTAACATAAATCGCTAAGAAATTCCGGTGTAGCTTGAAAAAGGTTCCATTGTCTGCCTAAAAGTCTGGTTTCAGAAACTTCTAACGAGATCTAGCAAAATATGGCATTCGTAACTTGCACAGCAGTATCTCAAACTACTGAACAACCCAAATGGGCAAATAATTGCTAAATCAAGTTAATTCTGAAGGTTGGTTAGTTCTTAACTTAATTCTCATAACGGGTAACGGGTACCCGCACGGGTACCCGTGCGGGTACGGTAATTGTACTGCGGGTAGCGGGTCGGGTAACGGGTAGCATTTTCGCTACCCGCGGCAACCCTACTGGTAACTATTTTAAACAACACTAGTTTGCCCTGATAAAAAGTAGTTTAGATATTTACAATTTTCAGTTTATGAAAATTTTCCAATTTATGTATGCAAAACTTTGCTGATTTAGCCATCTCCCAACCTTCCCTTCCCAGGGAGAGGGCGAGGCAATAATGTGAGATGAATCGGACAAAGAGAGGAAACCGTTTGTCCCTTGGCATATGCAGACCGACGATTTTGTTGCCATGGTAACAACCACGAGTGCCAGATGCTGCCCGACTTTTGTCTTGAGAACAAAGGCGGAACCAACTTGGAATTAACAAGTATAAAATTTGCAAACAAGAAGTTTGTATGCAATTGACTGCAGAAATTTAATACGAAATATAACGTGACCATCGATGCATACAAAACTTTT